ATAACTGTCAGACAATGAAAAGTCGTGCCAGTTACAAAATTAAATAATACAAAACAAACAAAAAAACCACCCCATTTAAAAAGTTAACTGCATCCATTAAAAAGAGTATAAATGAAAAAAAAAAAAATGAGTAAATCTTTCTAAATAGTGCTTGAGTGTTTTAATGTAAACAGTTTAAGAAGATGGTTAGGGGGCGTCATTAATTCAAGTTTTGTTAGCGCCCTGGGCTTTATTCAAGTCTTGGCTGATTGGCCTATGCAGGCCATTCAAGTTCCATATTTCTAACCTATTGGGCTTTTCTGGTGTTCTTGTTAGTTAGTCCAGTTTCATTGGTATGGGTACGATTTACAAGTTTAAATTCTAAGAGAACATCTTTTTTACCTTAACCCACGGTGTGCCCACCGCAATATGTGGCATGCACACATTGATGATGTATTTTATTTTGAACATATTAACATCACAAATGTGTGCAAAAAAGCGGTGGACATATTAACATGCCTACCCTGTGTAGGGGAGCATTATCTATCTGCATTAATAAAATATTGTGTTTGCTGAAGTTGAATTCCTCAAATTGTTGACTTTATTATGTAAACAAGTTGTTGACTTTATTATGTAAACAAAAAATGACCATTCACCAAGTCTTGACCTTAAAAGGGTCAAAATTGCACATCATGGTACATGTCATATAGTATGTTATTGTTGTGTAATAAGAGGTTTTTATTAATTAAATTCCATTTTTCCTAATTCTTCATTGTATGAACAGTAAGGCATGCCTAGTAAGTTCGCTGTCTTGTCAGAGTTATTTTGTGATGTAATAATTTCGACATACTTTCAAATTCAAGTATTATATTCTAAACTAAATAACGTAAATAAAAAAATATGAGAATTTTTAGCATGAGTATACATTTTTCAATAAAATACCACAAGTTGACTTACCATCTTATTGAATAATATAACTGATAATTATTTTGGGGAGATGCTACAGTTCCGTAACGGAATAGTTCCGTAACATTTTTCAATATTTTGAAGCTAGCTCTCGAAAAGACAAAAGCAAAAATAACAGGAAAAATAAATAGAGTCCAACAAGAAAGACGCAAAAACTAGCTGTCAAACTCAGTATCACTGAAAATCTCATCTCTAGAAAAGCTAGCAAAACCCTCAAGGACACAGCCACCTCTTCTAATATCAGATCACTGAAGATGTGGCATATGACCTGGAACCTACCAATATCTCAGAAGCTCAAGATTTTTCTTTGGAAATGCTGGAATGGATACATAAGCACAACAAACAATCTGGTGAAGAGAGGCTTGGACTGTGATCCTATCTGTCATGTCTGTGGAGATGCAGCAGAAAATCTAGAACACATATTCTTCACTTGCCCTAGGGCTCAAGACTGTTGGAAAATGCTGGGAGTCCACTGGAACCACATGCAAAGCCCAGAGTGCAACTTTCAAGGGTGGTGGGAAGACCTTTGCAATGCAAAGAATTTAATGATTATGGAGGACAGAATGAGCTTATGTGTGTATATGTTGTGGTGGCTCTGGAAGACAAGGTGTTCCTGGCTTGAGTTCCAAAACCACAATTCTCAATCTAGGCTCTCTTTGGAACTGGCAGATGGTAAGAGGATGACAACTGAAGAGAGCTTTTCTCAACAGGTAAGACAACAAACTTCTGCTGTCAGTGCCTGGTTCTCTCCAGAGGGTAAACTTGGTATGGGTTGCAGAGCTTGGCATGAGAGAGGGATACTTCAAGATTGGACTGATACCGCTTTATTCAGTGGAGAACTTGTAGCAGCAAAGATGTGGACCATAAGATGGAGATTGCTGAAGATTGCAGAACATGGATGGTCTAGTGCTAACTGTGTGGTGCAAGACAAAGCCTTAGTCTCTTTGTTGTCTGAACAGGAAAGAAAATACCTCACGGGCTCCATTGTTCTTGAGGATATTTATCATTTAAAGTCCAATTTTGATGTTATTTCTTTCTCTTTTGATAAGCTTAAGGTGGATATTGTTAGTAATATGGCCAAACAGGCCCTGAAGGAACATTAGAATTTCTGTGATCTTCTCTCTTCTAACTTGCTCTCATCTCTTCCATGTAAGAGGGCTGGTTTAGCCATTTGGCTAGCCTCTGTACTTAAAGGTTGAGTAATGAAATTTTGATGATTGTTAAAAAAAAAAAAAAAATCAGTAGACCCATTCAAAATATAGGACCATTTTATAAGAAGAAAAAGATGTATAAATCCAGAAAGTCTTTTTGACTCCAAATCAAATTGTGACCAAATCAAATCAAATAGTTGACCCAAACCCAGCACACTCATTCCAACAACCTTTTCAATACAATACACTAAATACATAGGCAACAAATATATGTGTAGTGAATACCTAATTTTAAAGGTATATATTGTACCAGTAATGCTCCCCTACTCACGGTGGACACATGTTAATATGTCCACCACTTATCTGACATTGACATGCACACATTGGTGATGCTAATATGTTCAAAAAAATATATCACCAATGTGTGCATGCCACATAAACGGTGAACATATTAACATGTGTTCACCGTGGGTAGGGGAGAACTACCGTGTATTGTACATCATATTTAGTATGTAAGTAAAGTACATGTAAAATTTAGTCCAACATTGCTAGCAGAGTTGCAATTTTTGTCCAAAATATGCAAAAGCAGATTTTATTTGGTATCAATTGCAAATCATATATTTTTTTTAATATTTGTACCACACATATTATTTATTGCCCTATCATAAATCCAACCTTAGATCTTTTGAAATCTTTTATAGTGGTTATTTCATAAAGTTGTAATGGTATATATCATCGGATATCTAAATCATGATAAAGAATCTAACGTTGAAGTTCTAGCTTACAGGCAACATAAACCGAGAAGTATATACAAAGATTTAATCATGTATGACCAATATAACTATTTTAATAAATATGAGAGACATGGATTAAATACATAGTAAAGAAATAAAACCAAAAGACTATAATATACTGTAGCACATATATAATGCAATATCCTAATCAATGGCTAAATCCTATTCACTACATGAAGCAATAAAAAAAATATATATACATAAATATGGTGGTGAAATGAAATATTTACAAACTGTGGAGCCATACCATGAGAATGTTGGTTCCTATTACTTAAATGTAACAATCACAAATAGGAAAGTGACACAAATGATGATAAGGATTTTGGCTCTTACAGTAACAATTGACCAATTTATAAAAATTTGGTTATCATGAGGTGGCTGCTGCTTGGGATTATGTGTATTGTGTGGGTAGTTTCTAACCTTCTAATCAACACACAAAGTCTCAAACACCAATCTTGTCAATTTTGAGGGTCTTAAATTAAAATATGTAAAATGGTATTTGCAAACTGTGTGACAAATTCATACGTATCAGGACCAAAGATAGCCTAGCCCAAATGTGGTCCAATCCAAGATGGCTAAAATGACTATTTTATGCAATTTAGTTCCAAATGTGGTCCAATCCAAGATGGCTAAAATGACAATTTTATGCAATTTAGTTATATAGTTAATTGGGGTCTAATCGACCTAATTTGGCTAGACTAAAGTTAGTTATAATTAATTGCGTTTGGGTTGACGAGTTCGAATCGAACAACCTAAACGTTGGACGAGAATGGACGAGAATAGTCTCTTACCATGAGGTATAAAGATAAAGAGAGAAGGTGAAGCGCATAATCCAAGAGGTTACGGGTATAAAGATACAAGTTTACCCCCGCTCCCTCCACCATCGAAGCCAAAAAACCTGTGCATGCTCCAGCGGCTTGTAAAGTAGCTATGCCTTAAAAGATGGAATATCCGATGCTCTGCTCTCCAAGAAAAAATTGAGGTATATGTTGGAGTTTGATTGTGGAGTTAGCTTACAAACACAGTCTTTATTTGATTTCAAATACAATCGTCAATTGTGTTTGGATTCAAATTTGCAACCTAACTCCACAATCGAACTCCAACATATACCTCAATTTTTTCTTCAACAGAGATGGAGAGCATTGGATATTTCATCTTTTCGAACATAGCTACTTTACACGCCGGTGAAGCATGCACAAGTTTTTTGGGCTTCGGTGGTGGACGGAACGGGGGCAAATTTGTATCTTTATACCCCATGGCAAAAGAATGAAACGTAAGCTCTTGGATTATGGGTTTCACCTTCTCTCTTTATCTTTATACCTCATGGTCTCTTTATCTTTATACCTCATGGTAAGGGACTATATTTTCGTCCAAGGTTTAGATTGTAGGTTGTTCGATTCGAACCCGTCAACCCAAATTCAATTAAGTATAACTAACTTTAGTCTAGTCAAATTGGGTCGATCAGACCCGATTAACTATATAACTAAATTGCATAAAATGGTCCGTTTAGCCATCTTGGGGGTAGGCTATCTTTGGGTGCTGATATGTATGAGTTTGTCACACAGTTCGCAAATACCATTTTACATATGTTAATTTAAGACCCTCAAAATTGACACTATAAAATCAAGTGCAGCTACAAGTAGAAGAAGAAGAAGAAGTACTAGGCTGACCGTACAAAATAAGGATTGTTGTTACTTCACATTTCCGTACGAGCTTATAAGGCTCCGTAAACATGTCTACTATACGGTATCCTCCTATACTCGGCCGCCTCAATATCTGAAAAAAATAATAAAAGAGACAGATAAATTTTTTAATGCACATCTTTTTCAAAATCTGATCATAGTTTGTATTTTGTACGCTCAAAACACACACCGTGCTAACAGTTTGCTCTTCCGACAGGCAAAGTCCTCTGGTCATATGGTGATGACCCTGGCCCAAAAAAAAAATTACAATTTGAAAATTGACGTTATTAACGAGGAAATAAAAGCCTACATTTTTTCTGGCATCCACAGGCTGCATTCAAGGAAAAAAAAAAAAAGATTATTAAGGTTTACCCAATTTTTGGTCCTTTTTAAAGATTAGTATTTTATTTTATTTTATTTTTTTAAACCTCCATTCTTTCACAACTGCAACAGCGAGGTGTCCCATCATGTTCGTGCGTAGGGCAGTACTTTTGGTGCCAGAAAGGATGTGCTCTGTACTCGATAAGTCCGGCCCCATTTGTTGAGATCTACCGTAAACAGAAGTGAAAATGCCAAAAAAAAATTATATTTGCTTAAATTTAAGAATGTTTTATTGTGATACTAAGGGACTTACGAACTGTTTACAGACATCGCATTTCGGGTGATGCAGGTCCTTGTAGCAGGACTTATGAAAAGGATGATTAGCAGACAAGGAAAACTGAAAAAGGGAAAATTGTAAGTTAAGTTCATGAAATGACTTCGTTTGGCTCGAGAACTGTAATCAAAATTCAGTACCTTAACTACCTCATAATCCGATATTGGGTGATTGCAAGCATTACAAAGAAAACACTCTGGATGCCAAACAGCTCCCATGCAACTCAAATATCTTCCATAGCCAATTTCACTATGGCAACCAGCACACATTCTACAAAACGGTGGGGAAAAAAGGAAAAAGCTATTTGTCAAATCTTTCTCAGTAATATTAATCAATGCAATGGCACAGTTTGTATAGAAAATGCTCATCAAATCCCAGCAAGAAAACTGCAGTTCTCTCATGACACACATAATCTGTGAGAGAGTCCTTTATCTTTAGTAATTGGATAAATAAAATACATCTTTATTCACATTGAGAACGAATCACAACGGAAACAGTACTTGAAAAAAAAATTAATCATGAAAGATCATATGAAGAGGAAAAATGGGTCCATAAAGGAGTCAATTACCTGTATGCTGAAGGGTTCGTGAAAGGATAAGGCGATAAGAAATTCCGTAATCATATCTAGGTGATCGATGTGGAGGTGATGGAGAAGGAGGCGAACGAGGTGGAGATAACTTCAGATTCCAGCCTTCTTGGATAGCCTTGGCCAGCTCTTCATCTTCCTGCAATCGGGACTCATCATCATCATCATCATCATCTGGTACAGAAGTCACGATTTATTGAGAAAAAAATACTTCCAAACTTCCATAGACTGTGCACACAAAATTCAAGAAGATGAAAGGATCATCTACTACCTACTACTTTTTTCCCTTTCGCGTCTTCTTCGGCAATAGAGAGTGCAATTGCCCGGTCAAGCTCTTCTTTGTCAAAATCAGAAAATCGATCCTATACCAGACACGAAATGAAAAATTAATATATATA